ACCAACTTAACGGCACTTTGGAACCAACTCAACAGCACTCAACAACAACAATGAACCAGGTTGAATTTTTGAGTGGTGCTAACAGTTAAGCACTTGACTGCTAACAGAAAGATTGGCAATTTGAACTCACCCAGAAGCACTTCAGAAGAAAGGCCTGTGATTTGCTTCCAAAAGGTCACAGTCTTGAAAACCCAGTGGGGCACAGATCTCTGCAGGGGTCAACATGAATCAGATCAACTCTATGGCTACAGGTTGGGTTGGGTTTGGTGAGCGAGGTGGCGTCTAGCTTAGTGCCCAACTGCATCCTCAAATCTGCCCAGATCTGGGGCCATCACTGCCAGTTGTCGGTTAATTAACCTGGGAGCAAACCATCAGCTTGGCCTGCCAGAGCCTCTTTTATTTTATGGACTTTCTTTAAAATGGACTGGGTGCCCTTTGTTGAAGGTCAAAGCTGTCCTTGGTGTTTGCTTCTGCTCCCTTCCTATTTCTGTAACCGGTTATTAAAGCCATGGGGGAGGGGCATTGCAGGGAGGGTCCCTCTATGCCTCACCAAACAGTGAGTTGTCCTGGGAAGTACTTTACAGCCCCTTAGTTAGAGCTGGCTGGACATCCCTGGAAGCTATTACTAGGGGCACTGGTTTCATGCATGCCCCCCCACCACCCATGGCTTCATGCCTTTGTGGCCCAGCCGTCTAAAGCAATTTTCCAATAGTATTACAGAAAATGGGGCAACCAGTGGCTTACTTAGCCTCCCTTAAGGCCAATTAATTCATAATTCAATCAAAAAAGGCAGCAGGATTCATTCCTCTGTGAATTTTGCAAACCTAATGCTTCCAGTCCTGCCCCTGGACCTCCCTTCCGTCTCTCTTCTGATAAATTTTGAGTGTAAAAGACTGAAATCCACTGCAGCTTTTTTTGTTTTCTAGAACCATCTGCTTTTCCGTACCCACTTTAGTGAAGTGTCATGGCTTTGATGGCCAAGTAACGTGACGTCAGAGTTGGGACTCCAGGCTCCTGAGTGTCCTTCCTTTTGCTTCTGCTTCTGCTTTTCCACCCAGTACCCTTCTTGTCCCACATGTCTGTAGACCAGATAAATGACTGGACTTCTACAAATAAGCTTATCTAAAGATAAGGCTTTCTCTTAAATGGAAGGGGTCCTTATAATTACATACCTAGAATCGAAAGGAAAGAAAGCTGGCCTCTCTCAGGTCACAGGAACTTTTCAGCAACAGCATCAACAGCATTAACAAGAGGGAGAACCAGACTGAACAGAAAATTTGTACCTAACAAAACTTAAAACTACAGTCGATCCCCACATGAGTTGGAAACACCATCCTACAGCGTTTTCAGGTCCAAAAGGAGGCCAGGTAGCTTCCAAATTCCAAATCCCAGGGGTCTGATTGGACTTGGATGTATTGCTGCAAGGTTAGGGGAGAGTATCACCTCTTATAATTCTATAGGTGACCCACCATAGAAGTCAAGACCCACTGAGTGCATGCTTGTCCAGTATCTAGTGTATGTGGACCTAAGCCATACACATTATTTGAGCCTGAAATGTCTGTCCCCAGCTGGGCCCCACCACCCTCTGTCGGAGAATCAGAAAACCAAACCTGCTTGGGCACGGAGTAGGAGAGACTCATACTTACTGCTCTGTTACTTTGGGATTGACCAGGGGACCCTCACTCAGCTGCATACCTTTTAATTAATAAGAAGGAAAACCTGACTAATATGTCTGACCCCGAACCTCTTAGGGTCACATTAACTCTCACTTTCCTATGCCTTTAGGCATGGCATCCATGAGCTTTTTAATTACCCAGCCACACTTTGCATAGGTCTTACTGAAATTTGGTGTGGGAAGCTGTCCCCAAGGGGTGGGAGTTGAACACTGATTGACCTTAGTGAGGATGAAGTTCAGTCACTCTCACAAAGCCCATCTGGTACCTCCATCTTCAGAAGCACTTCTATTACAGTGGTTTGTATTCTTCAATCATGCTTAAAAGACAAGAGGTAGGGGACAGTGGTGATTCAGTCATTCTCGCTTTCCATGTGGGAGTCTCGTTAGATTCCTAACCAATGCACCTCAAGTGCTACCATCCTTTACTATCTCACAGTGGTGACTTGCATGTTGCTGTGTTATAATACTGAACTGGTTTCAGCAGAGATTCCAGATGAAGACACATTAGGAAGAAAGACTTGGTAATCTATTTCCCCAGAGTGAGCCAAGGAAAACGGGATCACAGCAGCATGGGAGTTGCCATGAAACCAACTCGAGAGCAGCTCACAATAACAACAAAAAATAGACAATGAAGGGCCAAGTCTTATCCTTGTTATACAGTTGAGAAAACTGAAGCAATAGGTCTCTAAGCCAGGAATTCCAGACCCTCTTTGCCTCCTTACTTGTGGAAATGCCCCTAAATGTGACCACCAAGTCAGCCTACACCACCTGTGAGTATAAGCAAGGTTTTCATTTCATAGTAAGCCTCTGGATTGCCCTTTCACCTCCACCTAACATATCCAGATCCACTACCTAATCTTTGGGGAAAGGACAGGACATAAGAGGGAAAGAAAGAAAGGCCTATCCATTACCACAAGCTGTCACCAGCTCCTGGGGCAAGGAACCAAGCTGCCTAAGAAGCCAGACTCTGGCATAAGGGCCTCTCTGTTGAGGGGAGTGGGCCACAGAAACCTGGGGCCTGGGCGTTGGCCTGGAGCCCACCCACTCACGCATCCAGCCGGCCTCTACATTGGAAGCCTGTGACTCACCCCTCTGGCAAGGCCTGGTACAAGCACTGAGGAACTCAGCTGGCTCTGGGGGTGGGGTAGTGGCATGGGGTTAAGCCCTAGTGGGAGACTGCCCTTTCCAAACTTGTAGCTCAAGACAGCCAGGCCAGGATTCAGGTACCTTTTATCTCTTCTTATTGAGAAAGTCTGATCATAGGGGTTTAAAGGTTTAGTATCTCAGCTTTCCCACCTGTGAAATGGGGTGTTGACGAAATGTTAAGATATAAAGACTACTTAGAGATTTCTTATCTGATGCTTGTAAGGGCCACTCAAAAGGAAGCATGTGTCCTGGGGTTGTGTTGATCAGCCTATAAAGTCTCATTGTGTGAAGAGGGAAGGGGCCAAATGCAGGCAAATGAGGGAGGCACTCTGATTTGTCATTATGGATTGGTATGCTTTGAGAAGTAAATTTTATCTGCCTTTGTTGGCACAACTATGATGATTTCTTTTTTTACTGTTTGATTATGTCCACTCCTACAAAGTAGTGCATAAAACAGGAACACTTTAAAGAATTAGCTGTGAAGCAACTATCATCCAGGTCAAAAGCTAGAATACTGCCAGCAACCTAGAACTATCTTTTCCTTCTCCACCCCCTACCTCAGTCCTCCCTGGTCACCTCCTTCTCCTAGAGGTCACCACTCATTTGACATGATGATAATCATTTTCTTGTTTTTCCTTTATTCGTTTTTGTAATTAGGTGCCATAGAATCAATCGGTTCCAACTTACACACCACAGAACGACTCACTCTCGGACCTGCACCATCCTCACAATCATCAGGCTTGATCCCATAGCTCCTGCCACTGTGCTGGTCCATCTTATTGGGGGGTTTCCTCTTTTTCACTGATCCTCCACTTTACCAAGCATAATGTCCTTCTCCAGGGACTGGTCCCTCCTGATAATATGTCCAAAGTATGAGAGACATAGTCTGGGCATCCTGGCTTCTGGCTGTATTTCTATCAATACAGACTTGTCTGTTCATCTAGCAGTCCCTGGTACTTTTAATATTCTCTTCCAACACCATAACTCAAATGCATCAATTCTTCTATGGTCTTATTCACTGTCCAACTTTCATATACACATGAGACTATTGAAAATACCATGCCTTGGTTGAAGTGCACCTTAGTCTTCAAACTGACATCTTTGTTCTTGAACACTTTAAAGAGGTCTTGTGTAACAGATTTGCCAAACACAATAGGTCATTTGATTTCTTGACTACTGCTTCCATTAGTGTTGATAATGGATCCAAACAAAATGAAGTCTTTGACAACTTGAATCTTTCTCCATTTATCATTGTTATTTGTTGGTTCAGTGGTGAGGATTTTTGTTTTCTTTACTTTGAGGTGCAACCCATATTAGAGGCTGTGGTCTTTGATATTCATAAGTAAGTATTTTAAGTCCTCTTCACTTTCAGCAAGTAAAGTTGTATCATCTGCATCTCACAGGTTGTTAATGAGTCTTCCTCCGGTCCTGATGCCATGTTCTTCTTCGTATAATCCAGCTTCTCAAATTATTTGCTCAATGTACAGATAAAATAAGTATGGTGAAAGAATAGAACCCTGGCACACCTATAAATGTATATATATGGATGCACATGTTTATATTATCTGTGCATGTTTCTGTGTGCCTATAAATACATATATGCATCTCTAAACAGTGTAACTACTAACCACAAGGTTAGCTGTTCAAATGCACCAGCTGCTCCTATCCAGGGTCAGTGAGTCAGAACTGACTAGACTCAACAACAATAAAACAGTATGAGGGGCTTCAAAAAGTTTGTGGGAAAAATCCATTCTCTTTTAACTCCATTTTTCCACACACCTTTTGAAGTCCCTTTTAGTAGTAATCATTTTAACTGTATGGAATCATATCATATATGGTCTGGTGGAGCTTGCTTCTTTCTTTATCATTGTTAAGATGCACGTAGCTAGCACTGGTTCATTCTCGTTGCCATATACTATTCTGTTGTCCATAGAACATCCACTCTACTGCTGGTTGGTCATTGTGAATTCTCAGCTTTATGATGTTTTTAAAAGCAAATGGAATGTTTTTTGTTTTGTTTTTTATCTCCCTCTCTGGCTGCTGCTATTACCAGGTGCTTGGTGAAAAGTGGAGACCAAGGGTGGTACCCAATTCCTTTGTAAATTAGACCATTCAGCACCTGGCGATAATGTTGTCTCTGTCAGCCAGAATTAATGCCAACATCCTGTATGTCTTGCAGCTTGCTGGGATTGCAGTCCTTGCCATTGGACTATGGCTTCGATTCGACTCTCAAACCAAGAGCATCTTCGAGCAAGATACTAATCGTTCCAGCTTCTACACAGGTGAGGGGGAAAGACTTGGTGTGTCCCACAACTGTGGAGAGTTGGTGTCAATGCAGAGACTTGGGCTTGGGAAAGACTTTTGCTCTTGCCATCTTGGCCAGTCCCATAGCTTTCAAGCCATGCCTTTGTGTAGTTGTGCCCATGAATTTGCATTTGACTGATGTGGTTTCTTTTCATGCTCACTAAGTCTGACGTTTTGACCATTCTCTGATGTGAAGTTGGCTCTGCCCTAGTTGCTGCCACCCTGGAGAGTTTATGAATCTATATTCCTGTCCCTGACCCTCTCTTCTAATAGCACATCTTCTAAGGCTTTGTCATTTCCCTAATTCAAAAGCTCAGTCCCAAGAGTCCACATTGTCAAGGAAGGGGATAAGTGTACTGTTCTCCCCACTGTTCAGAGAGAAAGTCTGAGAGTCAGAAGACAACAGAGAATACAGTCACATCTCTGGAAGAGACTTGAAAGAGACCCAGCCCATTAGACCTGGATGCTGCCATGGATGTTTGGTTTTGTTTTCTACACAGTTTTTGCTTTAGGGGAAAGACTTCCAAATTTAAATACACCTGAGATCCTCAGAAGGAGTCCCGAGGTGGTGCAATCAGTTAAGCATTTGCTACAAATGAAGAGGTTGGTGATTTGAACACCACCCCACAAGGAGCCTTGGAAGAAAGGCCTAGCGATTTGCAACTCACAGGATCACCATGAGTTGTAATCAACTTGACACGAGCTGGTTGGGTTTTTGTTATTGTTGTTGTTGTTGTTGAGGGACCCTCTGAACTCAAGTAGACACAGCCGTTTTATTTCTATACAAAGGCTCGTTAGCCTTTTCTTTTCCCATCCTTCCATTGCTCTGGCGGACTTATCCTCACATAAACAACCTCCCTAAGAGGAATGAGTGTTCTGATGCAAATCAAATCTAATTTCCCAGTTTCCAAGTAGACTAAAAGTGTTTGTGCCTAGTCTGAGGATAGGAAACATTTCATTTATGAGAAACAGGAGAAACCCCCTATTTTTAGGGTGATACTGACATGTCATCAGGCTCAAAGTATAAGTGTGGTCACTTCCTCCCCACCCACCAAAGCTGTTATTTTTATAAAAGACGGAGAAAGCAGTCTGAATAGGGTTATCTGCAGGAACGCCAGGCTGGCTGGCCACATGACCTTCCATCTCACGCTTACCAGAAGCCTGGCTTGAACCTAGCTGGGGGACTCTTAGAAAAGCAGCTCATTTGATTGCATAGCACCTAAGTCTTGTGGATCATTTTTTCCGGTTTTATTGCCTTTTTTGTTATTGCGAGTTGGGTTTTGTTTTGTTTTTAGGGTGTTTCTCCCTATTGTCAGAAAGAAAGTTAGGAAAAGAAAAGCACAATGTGTGTTTAAAAAAAAACAAAGGCACATACACACACAGTGTTTCAGAAGCAGGTTTCCATAGTGCCCTGGCTTGTTTTAGCAACAGAGCTTCTCTCTGTGTGTGTGTTTGTGTGTGTGGCAGGGTTGGAATGCCATCCTGTAGGACTGGAGCAGTGGGGGTGGGGAGGGCTATTTAGCATAAGTTGGGAGACCTTCGATGTTACATGTCATGAGAAAGCTTGGCATGCCCTCTGTGAGAAGCACAGATGTGCTGGAGAAATATGGAAGCAGATGACATGTGTCTTGGGGAGGGATTTTCTAAGCAGAGCCCCATGCCTCTGAATGCTTACCAGAAGGGTGCTTTCACCCCATTGTTCTCTACAGGTGAGAGACTCAACACCCTCTCTGGTCATTCTTAATAGCCAGGGTTTAATTTTTTAATATCTAGGACTCATTTGTTTGTTCTGTATATTTTTCAAGGGGAGGGAGGTAAGGTTCTTTTGGAGAAAACCAACATTCTTGAACCCCTTCTTGGTGTATCAAGCTCTATGTTGTACAAATTGTTATGGAGTTTAAACCTCATAACCCTGTGTGGAATAATATCCCATCTCACAAGTGAAGAAACCAAGACTCAGGGAGGAGGTTAAATAACTTGGCCAAGCTCATGCTCTTCAAGAAGCAGGGCTAGAATTTGAACCCAGGTGTGTGGAAGCCTTTCCTTAGATTATTTGTTCTAGGTTGTAGGGGGACTCCCTGTGTAGGAATAGAAAACATCTCCACTGACTGTCGCCTATTTTTAGGGGCAGGTGGAGGCTCTCTTGTCATTGTGAGTTAATTTAAAGTAGTCCTCAGAAAGAAGCCCCCCGCCCCCGAAGCCCTAGTGAGCAGATGGCCGGTGGGAAAGGCCCACAGAGGACAGGAGAGTGAGTGAACATACCGGTGAATGAGTCCAGGCCTGCTTCTGGAAATCTCGCTGAACTGAGTCCCCCAGGTCATTGCAGGGGCCCTGATAGGCAACGAGCCAAGAAGACTTTGCTTGGTGCCCCTTTTCCTGGAGCCGTGAGACCAGCTTCTTCCAGCAGAGGAGCTTGACATACCAGCTACACCCCAGCAGTATCCCCACATCATGAGGTGATTGTCCCTTCCACTGAGCACTGTCTACGGGTCATTCCCTAGTATGTCCTGACCACCCAGCTGAAAACCTGAAAAACTCAGGGGTGTCTTTTTGGCCATGGGTTCACAACTTCCAAAGTAAGGAAAGATTGGGTAACCAGGCAAAGAAGCAAGTGAAAACAGAAACATTTCCAGTGTTTGAAACAGTCCATAGTGAGTCCAGAGCGGCTGGCAGCCTTATATGGGCCTTTTCTCGGATTCAGGCCCTGGGAGATTCCACCCGTCAGCAGGATCCATAATCCCAGGCTGCACACATGGAGAACTGCATTTTCTTGGTCCTGGTCCAGCAGCCCTTCTTCACTCCATGATATCCTTCCAAAATTATAGCCACTGAACAAAGGCATCTGGGGGCGTCCCACCAATCTGTCCACCCCTCCTTTCTTAGGACAATTACCAGGTGATTTTCCAGGATACTGCTGGCTTGTGGCCTGGGCTGGGCCAGTTTGTTTGGTTGCTCTATGCCTCATTTCCCCATCCTAAAACCGGTAGAGCTACTACACCCACACCTTTCAGAGACTGAGGATCACCTCGCTTAGCAGATGAAGTTCCATGCGGTTCTTATTCATAAGCACAGCCGTCCATGGGTGGGAAAGAAGCCAAGGGAGAGCCCTTAAGGGTCAGAGTCAGGATCCCTTGGAACCCATGACCGTGTTGTTTTGAGATAATCAACTGTTTCTAGCAAGTGGAGCTCAGGAGCTCTGCGGAGTTTTGTTCTCCTCCATCTCAATGGGTGGTGTTGTTTGGATCTGGGGTTGGGGTGCTGACAGAACACTGATGTGTCTGCTACCTGCCCAAACCAAGTGGCCTGCCCACCAGATGAGAGATTAGCCCACATCTGGTGTAAAGGACAGCGGGCAGGTGCTTCTGCAACACCAAAGTCTCTTGTTTTGTTTTTCTTTTAGCTAGGTCTATAGTGGCAGCCTGAAAAAAGCAGAATAAACAGCCCTTAAGCAAATGAATACAGTAATCCTAGAGAAGGCTCCATGACGAAGAACTTTTTCCATGCGTCAGAGAGAAAGCTAGCATTCCTTTGTTTAAAAAGGGGAGCCATTTGTCACTGCCTGACCATCTCACAAGCTTAAGGTACAGGCCCCAGGTGGCCTTTCCAAGGGGAAGCACTAGATGACCCTTTGAAAAAGCAGCTCAAGTCCTGCAGTGGGTCCATGGCTTCAGGGAGAAGGCGGAGCGGGAGCTGCTTGCAGATGAGCCACCCTTAGCTGGATGGCTGCTGCTAACATCACAGATGCAACTGCCAGGAAACTTGTCTTCGGCACCATCTGGAGAGGGCAGAGCCAGGTCCTTCAGATTTGCAGCAGTCTGAGCAGGGTTTAAAAGCAACTGGACCCTTGATCCTAACATCTTACTTTGCTGAGCTGTGGGATCAATATTTAATACCAGCTGAGAGACCCATTAGGATGTTCTTTCTCTCTGCTTGGGAAATGCCTCTTTTCCTTCTGTAGTCCACCATTGCTAACCCAACTCCCCTGGCTTCTGCCAGGGCTGCCTGCACTTATCAATTGGACATGGACTTCGAGCATCCATGTCTGCTCCATTCCACTCAGACATATTTTATGCATTTATTAATCTTTTAATGCTCCCTGTGTGTGCAGCCCTGTTACGGGGCTCAAAGGAGTGGCCTCATCCTCTGTCGTTTTGTCCTGATGAGATAGGGAACACTGGCCCTCTTTTCCTACCTCTTCTCACTAGTGTCTCCATGTGAGAGCCAAGACCCTAGGGTAGCCACCCCTCCTTTCCCCATGCATGGTGCGTGGCACTGCTCTGCCTCCCTGTGCCCAGCCTGGCCCCACAGGGGCGTGACTGTGCAGGAGGATGGGCTGGACCCCAGGACAAGCTGCATTTGTCACCTTGCCCAGTCTGGGCTGGGCGTGCATGGGAACAATGCCCATATTCACATACCATGTAAGGGGCTGCCAGGAAGGCCACGTGACTTGCCATCACGACAGATGTGGGGGAAGAAGGGAGAGACACAAATGTTCCCTTGTGTACCTTCTGCTCTTTGCCCAGGCCTCTCAGCTGTGGGCAGATTGCATGGTTGGTAGCCTGCAAAGCCGTGGCCCCGCACTGAGGGTACAAATTGGGGACAGTGAGGGCACTGTGTCACTGCAGAGGGTCCTCCTTGCAGTGTCCTGTTGTGTATTATGGGGAAACATCAGAGATACTCTGTGATTCTCAACCTCTACTTCAGGGGCATCTCCTTGGTCCCAGTGTGAGGACTATAGAGAGAGAGCAGCAAGTATATAAACATTCATCCCTGTGGCTGTTAATAATTATCGCATATCCTGTGTAGCACTGCAGGGTAAGCGCTGGACTACAGAGTCATTTGAACCACAAGGTCAGTGGTTCAAATTCACCAGCAGCTCCTCGGAAACCCTATACACTGTCGCTATGAGTCAGAACCGACTCGATAGCACTTGATAACAGCAGTATCCTTTAGGCTGACAATTGTTAGGTTCCATCAAGTCAGCTCTGACTCATGGAGACGCAATGTATGCAGAATAAAATTGTGCTCCATAGGGTTTTCAAGGCAGGAGACTTTCCGAAGCAAGTGGCCAGGCCTCTCTCTTGAGATAATTCTGGATGGGAACCTCAAGCTTTTGAACTTGTAGTTGCACACTTAATCTCTGCACCACCCAGGGATAGCCACAGTTAACAATACCCAAAGCAAAAGCATACCTACTGCTATGAGTTGATTCCAATTCACGTTGTTGTTCTGTGTATTAAAGGCAGTTCTAACTCCTAGTTACTCTGCATGGGGTTTCCGAGAGCAGCTGGTGGATTTTGAACTGCCAACCTTGTGATTGATTAGCAGTCACAACCTTATATAAAGTTTCTGAGACTGTAAATCTTTATGGAAGCAGACAGCCTAATCTTTCTCCCACAGAGTGGCTGGTGGGTTTGAACCACTGACCTTGTGGTTAACAGTTCAACACCTCACCCACAGTGCCACCTGGGCTCCTCAAAGTTAGCTGTAGTTTGTAATTATTGTGCACTTAGGATTCTTTCATGTAATCCTTATTATTAGGGAGATATTGCCAACACCTCTGCTATGCAGATAAAAAACTGCTGTACAAAGAGAGAAAACGGCTTCAAAGTCACAGAGTTGGTGTTGCCAACAGTGACAAGTCACATCTACAAGTCAAGGCTGCCCTGGGACTTCCCTTCCAACTTTCCTTTGGAGTTGGCGTTGGAGGGGCACAAGAGGGCAAATGAGTGATCCCTGCTGGTTGGGCCCCTTTGAACTTCCCTCATAGGGCTCATGGAATGAGCAAGGCCAGGGCTGTGGTCCCAGGACTTTGCACAGTGTTAGGCCAGAGGCAGGAGTTGTGAGAGCTACTGCCTTTCTCACTACCCGCTCCCTAGTCAGTCATTAACTTTGAGAACATAGTAATGGTGCACTCGTCCTTCCCTTTTCACGCTTAACCTGGAGGAACTGAATTGCAACTGTAAGATTTCTTTAGTGTACTGTAAGACATCTTTTGAAATATCCTTGAAACCAACCTCTAATTTTACTGTTAAGAAAATTGAGGCCCAGAATCATAGCAGTTAATGTCACTAGGCATGGCTGTGCATGCGTAACTGTCCAGGGAAGGGTAGGAAGGGACAAATCCCTACTAGGAATAGGCAGAACTGGCACACCCAAGGGCAAGCAGGATGTTTGAGTGTGCATAGCCTCTCCCTGTGAAAACTCACTTGGCAACCTCCCCTGAGAGGTAGAGGCCAGCAGGAGGCTCTGCAGAATGCAAGAAGCAAGCCCCCAAGTCAGGAGAGTCTGTTGTAACAGACAGGCATTGATTCATCCAACTGGACCAGTCTTGTCCTGAGTGGAATCTGGGGATTCCTGTGGGTATTGTGTGTTCTAGGGGAGGTGGGTAGTGGGCACATTCCAGAAAAGCTGAGGGAGAGATAGGAACAAAGGCTTGATGGGGCAGGGTACTGGAGAAAAGACTAGTGGAATGGAGACCAAGAGCAGAGGTCGAAAGGCTTTTTTTTGTGTTTTTTTTTTTTAATTTTTTCAAGGAAGGAGCACTTCACTGAGACTGCAGCAACAAGAACTAAGGGAGACCCAGAATCACATAGAGGGAAAAGGAATTGCAGGAAATGTCTGGGTCCCCAAATTAATGTGTCTCTGTATGTCCTTTCCTCTCCCCTCAGGAGTTTATATTTTGATTGGAGCTGGGGCCCTCATGATGCTGGTGGGTTTCTTGGGCTGCTGTGGGGCCGTGCAAGAGTCCCAGTGCATGCTGGGATTGGTGAGTATCCCTTTTATGTTCCCCAGAGTCAGTCTGAGTCCCACCTTCCCCAATCCAATCTCAACAGGTCCAGATCTATAGAGCAGGTTGTTGTTGTTAAGTGCTGTCTTGTCAACTCTGACTCATAGCAACAGTGTTTCTGAGGAGCAGCTGGTGGGTTTGAACTGCTGACCTTGTGGTTCATAGTCCAGGGCTGATCCTACAGCACCACACCAGAAGTCCATAGAACAGGTGGAAGGGGACAAGGTAGGATGAAGAGGATACACCCAGACATGAGCTCTCTTCTGTCTCCCCAGTGTTCTCCACTTTTGGCTCTGCCCAGTCCCCTAGCCAAGTAGCCCTTTTGTCCTCCTCCCTGCACCCCCTACCCTGTGGCATGCATCACCCCTCTGCCTTTCTGGAGCTCTCTTATCGCTTCCCCAGGGCAACTCTATGCCCAGACCTTCCCCCCACTTTCTCGAGGACTAGGTTTGATTTTAAGCCCTGAATCCACCTCATCTTTGCCTCCTTCTCTCCTCGTTTCAAAATCTGTCTCAGTCTCTTCCACTCTCTCCATAGGGTGTGTTCACTTTCTTTCTTCCCCCAAGTTGTTACAGTTTTTGTGGGTGAGCAGTAATGTTTTATTGCTCCTATTTATAAATACCAGTTTGGGGGCTTGGCTGTGTGTGTCCATGAATAGGTACCCCTTCTTACTGTAACTTTCACTTTTCTTGCCTTGGCTTAACCCTTCTTGATTTGTAAGTTTTCCTTGTCCCTTCTGGCTTGTTCCTTTGTGCCATTCCTCCTATTCCAAAATACCATTTGGCTGAACAGCACTCTCCCCCTCACTCCACGCCTTTGAGATCCTGGGTCCTGACTTTCCAGTTGATGGGCTGGGATTTTCCCTCACTCTTGTTTTCTCTTTGCCTTCTAGTTCTTTTGCTTCCTCTTGGTGATATTTGCCCTTGAAATAGCTGCAGCCATCTGGGGATATTCCCACAAAGATGAGGTACGTTAATTCCACTTGTCTTTTGGGTCCAGCAATGATTTGGGGGTGGAGAGATGATGAGGGTGGAAGGATGGTCACACTGGTCATTGTGGTTGACTCTCAAACCTCATACATGCCTCTTGTTTGCCACATTCCCACATGCCATCAGAGTATGTGCTTCTGAAAGGCAGGGAATGTGTGCATTTACCACTCTGTGTGGTCATTAGGTCAATTACTGCGTATCTAGTTCTCTAAATGGTGCCTAGAACATAGTAGAGATTCAGGAACTATTGGTTGGGTCTATGAAGGTGTGTGTGCGCACATGTGCACTTTTAGCATGGAAGGAAGATATGCATCTGAAAAAATGTCATAGAAGAGATTTGCATCCAATAGTACCATGGGGTTTGAAAAGGCCGAGGCAGGAGGATCTCTTATGGCTTCATGAAGAAGTGAGCATTGGCCTAGACCGGGAATAAGAGATAGGATTTCAGGAGGAGAATTGGTGGAAAGGACTTGCAGGCAAAGGAAAGGTCTGACGGTATGCCTGAGTTTGGGCTTCCACAGGGAAACGCTGAAGAGTTGTAAGCCACTATGGGTGTGATAGGGCAGAGTTTTAGGAAGGGTCATCTAGTCATGTGTAACAGGAGTGGGCCGGGGAGGGAAGGAGACATGCTGGATGCAGGTTGAGTTACAAAACATCTGCTGCTTAGTTATCACCCTCCAGGCCGCCCACAAGAAACTCCTTGTGTTTCACCCCTAACTGGAAACACACAAAGAAGGGAATTCTGGGAAACTAGTTCAGCTGAGCCAAGTAGATTGTGAAGTCACCACTGCCTCCAATGTCTATATAGTGAACCATGCAGAGAGTAAAGCAGGTAATTGAGACAGTGAGGTAAACACTGAGAGGAGACATAGAAGGTCATAAGAAGCCTATTTGTATTTCCCAATTTTTGATTCAATTTGAATTCTTCTATAACATTTAAAAAGAAGATCAAAAGGGCCCTGAATGCCAATACATTAGAAAGTCAGGCAGGCTAGTTTGGCACTTGAGTCTTTTTTGATGAGTGGCTGAAGGGTTTGAACTGCCGACCTTGTGGTTCAAACTGACCTTGCAGTCCCACGCTTAGCCTACAGTACCACCCCAGGACAGGAAGGGATCATTTCAAAAGATATTAAAGGGAAATTGCTGGATGTTGATCAATTAATAGGCTATAGAGGTCAAGGGAACAGCCATGCATTCAACTGGGAATGCACTTAAATGCAAGAGGATAATAATTGCAACTAATAATTCACTTTGATTCCAAATTTACAGTTAACACAGAGCAATATACTAAAAACTTACTGTGCAATATCTTGTTTAATCTCAGCAATAATTTACAGAGATAGAGATTGTTATAATCACCCTCCTACCTGTGTAGCAACTGATCTATAAAGAGGTTTAGTAATTTGTCAAATAGTGTACAGCTTCTAAGTGCAAAGTTAAAAGGAGGAAACAAAAGACTTAGTGAAGAAACTAGTATACTGGACTAACAGTCTACATGAACCAGATAGCCTCATCTGTCTTCAAACCAGAAGAACTAGATGGTGCCCAGCTATCACTAATGACTCTTCTGACCAGTGCCACAATGAATCCTAATGGTGTAGCACTGCAGGATAATGCACTAGCCTACAAGGTTAATTGGAGCCACAGGTGGGTAGTTCAAACCCATTAGCCGTTCCTTCAAACCCTATACAGGGTCTCTGTGAGTTTGGACTTCCACAGGGAGCCGCTGAAGAGTTAAGCCACTATGGGCTGTGACAGGGCAGAGTTTTAGAAAGGGTCATTTAGTCATGTGTAACAGGAGTGGGGTGGGGAGGGAAGGAGGAGACATGCTGGATGCAGGGATCCTAGTTTTTCTGTTTTGTTTAATGATTTAATAATCTAAGCATTAAAAGCTGCAGCTACCACGAAAACATCATTGTTATTGTTAATTGCCGCCAACTCAACAGCACTTAATAACAACAAAAATAAAATGCAAGAAAAATGTGCAACAGAACTCATTCTTTTAAAGTCCAGACTTACTAGTTGGGACTAGAGGACTCCTCAAGACCATTTTCCTGAGATATTTCATGAACTTTGAACCATTACCCTATGAGGTCACTTTTTTTTTTTTTTAGCTAATTAACAGATTGATTCATAAAATAAAGAACATGACCCGTGAGTACTGTGTACCTTTAACAATGTATCTTGTGAGACCAAATGCTCAACAGTTACTCTAAAACAAAGATGGCAGGCAGGGTAATGGAATGGGGAACAAGATTACTGGAAGGGAAGCATCCAGAGGGAATTCATGTCAGCACATTGTGACCAGTGTCTCTGTGCAATTTGTGTAGTTACGGGTAATTGGGAACTTAATTTTCTATGTAAGCATGCACTGAAAATGCAATTTTAAAATAAAATTTAGTGGAAGTCTGAGGAAATAGCTGAGGAGCAAATTCTTTCTGTAGAGTAGATTCCATTTGTTGTTAGGTAGAAGGAAAGGAGTGAAGTGGAACTGAAGGGACTGACCAAACGTGCAAGAAAAAAAGGAAGACTGCTAGAGCCAGTTCCTAGAGGGTATGAGAGAGGATCGAGTCCAAAGAAAAAGAAGTGGGAGATGGCGCAGAGGCACTAAGAATGATAGAACTGGTGACTTCAGTCTTCCCAGTAGCTGAAATTTCCTCTGAGCCCAGACGTTGAAGAGAGTGAACAACGTAGAACAGATGGCGTCTGTTCATTACGAAGTATATGAAAAAATGGTCTCTGATACTCTTCCTCTGCCCATTGTAGGTGATTAAAGAAATTCAGAAATTTTACCAGGACACCTACGAAAAGCTGAAATCAAAGGATGAGCCCCAACGGGAAACACTGAAAGCCATCCATTATGCGGTATGTTATCTAGTCTACAAAAATCCCAACCTTTCTTCAGACCTATCTTTAGAATAGACCTGCACACAGGGTACCTGCTACAACAGACCTGTTTTTAATAATTTTGTTTTGTTTTGTTTTTCTCACCCTGATCCCCGCCCCTCCTTCTGCAGTTGGACTGCTGTGGTATGGCTGGGGGTTTGGAACAATTCATCTCAGATATTTGCCCCAAAAAGGAATTGATCGCAACCATCACAATAAAGGTAAACTTAAGAACAAGACTCTTATATTCCTGCCTGTGAAGGTGGACAGGAAATCAGCTATCTCCTATCAGAAGGGCAGGGGTCCAGGCACTCCTTAGAGACCACTCCCACCTGTCAAAGAGCCCCAGAGTTGCCACCTCATTTCTTTCTGGCCCTGGGGCCTCTGTCTCCTCCAGGGTAGTGAAACAAAGCCAGACTTTGGAGAAAAAGAAAGCATTCTAGCTGTCAGCCTCACTTTGACACTTGGCATTTCCCACTGCTACCCACCTTCTGGTCCCCAACTCTCCAACTAGTGAGGACCTGTCTGCTCTAAGTCCTGGCTCCTGGGATGACTTGACACTGCTTTCTCAGCTTTGTAAATGACTGCTGATTGTATAGCTAGTCCTAAGCCTCTAGAACAATGAAAAGTGACCCTACAACCAAATCATAAATAGAACCCACAGCAGGGGCTTAGCCCTCTTCACTCCTTGAATTCTTGCTCAAGTTTTAGAAATCCAGCCTCTCATTTCTCTCTTGGGTTCCCTTTCTGTACACCAGCCAGAGCATCTCTTCTCCCTGCCTCTTGTCCCACTCATTCCCTTGGACCACCAGTATTCTCTGTGGGAGAGTGGGCTTGCACCTTGAACTGGGATTGTATATAATGAGCTCTTCCTTTGCCTCCCTTAAGCCCTGCCCTGAGGCCATCAAAGAGGTCTTCAACAGCAAATTCCATATTATTGGCGCAGTGGGCATCGGGATTGCCGTGGTGATGGTAAGAGCTGGGAGGCCCAAGGAGGGAACAGTGTACACTAAGCACATGCTTTGTGCCTGGCACTGTTTCTGTGTGCAGTACACCAATCACCTGATTGAATCCTTACTATCTCTACAAAATACAATAAGTATTCTCATTCTACAAACTAGGAATGGAGAGGGAGGTTTAGTAAGTCAATCCAAGTCTCTCAGTTCATTAGTGAAGTGTCTGAGATCTGAACCTCCAGTATGCTTCAGAATCCTTAAGGTGAGATGATACCAGAGTAGCAAGGAGGTAGACCACCAGACTTGTTAATCTGGGGAGATCTTCAGTATATTTTCTCCTTGTTCAGGTTACTCTCTTGCTATAACCAGCCTCTAGGAACCATCCAGGGCCAGTCAGGTTCCCCATTGTCACCCTCCGTCTCCATGATAGAGTGATGACAAATGTGTAAGGGACACAGTCCTCAAGTGAGACAGCCTGGCTTCCCAGAAACCCTAGAATCATCACTATCTTTCCTCTACCTCTGGTGAGATTGCCTGAAAAAAAAAGAGAGAAATAACCTCTTTTATTGGTTGTTTATACCCATATCTGAATCCAACAAATAGCTTGAAGCAACTTTCAGTAAAAGACATAACAACACCCCTTAAAGTAGAATATAAAACACACACACTCAAAATGGAAGCAGAAGTATGGACTACTAGAGTGTCTGAAATTGGAGCATTAAATTTAGCTCTGGGCCTATTTGTCTCACCCTGAAAGTTCTCTAGGGAAGCTGTTTGTGCAGCTTCCAACAGCAACTAACTGCTGACTCCAAATCCCACAAGTCCAGCCACGCTTAGCATTATCCAGCCTACATCTCTCCTGTTCAGTGCCCTTTAACTCATTTGGCTTCATGGATACCATTCTCCTTGTTGTCTTTAGTCTTAGCCTGACTAGCTTGTGTCTGTTCCATCAGACAAAGTCACCCTATTCCTCATGTGCCTTCCTGTCTTCCAGATATTTGGCATGATCTTCAGCATGATCCTGTGCTGTGCTATCCGCAGGAGCCGCGAGATGGTCTAGAGTCAGCTTGCACCCCTGAGCAGGAAAATTTGCCCTTGCAGAGTTTCAGATTTTTTTTTTTCCCACTAACTTTAGTATTGATTCTGCATTTCTAAACAAAAACTATTCCATATTTGTCTTTTTAGTGCTTTATTTGAAATTGGTGTTTGTAGTTGAGGAACTTTGGGGTTTGGTTTGGCTTTTTTTTTTTTTTTCTGTTTATTTGTTTCTATTTTTTTATTATTGTTTGTTTTTGCTTGTTATGTTAAGCAGAAATCCTGCAATGAAAGGTACTATATATGCTAGACTCTAGACAAAAGATATTGTACATACAGAGACTGGTTTTTTTTGCCATTAAATAGATAAAAATGTCTATCACATTTAATCAGGTTATAACTTAAGTTGAAGACAATTTGATACATAATAAAGGATTATGACAGTATCCTAGACTGTTGTTTGTTTTTTGAAATGCCTTCAATCTTATATATACTAATAGGAAAATCTTGCTATTTTCTTAGTGGCTTAAATCTTTTTATACACATGTAGATGATCCATAGAGAATGTGGCATGAATTTTCCTGCCACTGTTGGTTCTCAGGAAGCGGATATAAGAGAATGGAGAAGCCAGGACCATCTCAAGGAATGATACTTTGCTTTATTTTCGCTTAGAGTTATTTAGTTTCAACTGTATCTCCACTGCTATTTTCTTTAACACTTCCTTTACGTGTGAGAGAGAGTTTAGGAAGTGGGTCTCACCTAATTTTCTGTTGAAGACATTGAAACACATGGAGCAATTTCAGGGATTGATCTAAAGACACACAGTTGTTAACAGAAGAGACAAAAGTGGAACCTACTCTCTGGATACTTTCATTCAGCAGTGAGTTATATCTTGGAAATATAACAATATTCAGGAGCTCCTTGAAGGCAGCACTTTGTTGTACTTGCTGCTATATTCCCAGCATCTAGAACGTAGTGTCAGGTACACAGTAGATGCTCAGTTAGTATTTGTTGGTTGAATGAATAAATGTATGTGTAGTCATCAGGTTTAGTCAGAAGCAGAACCACCAAGACATAGATCTATATGAAGAGATTTGACTTTATAATCATTCTTCTTGCTGTTAAGAGCTGTTGAGTCAGTCCAGATTCATAGTGACCCTGTATAGGGTTTCTGAGGAGTGAGTGGTGAGTCTGAACCACCAACCTTGCAGTTCAAACCAACCTTGAGGTGGAGTACTTATTGTGTGGTACCACACCAGAACTCCTGATAATTATTGGAGCCTTCTAGAAAGCAGTCTTTGTAGTATTGTGTATCATCTTTGTGCCTGATGCTGGAGCTTGAAGCCTACCAGACAGGCTGTCAGAAGGAAAGGTGGATATAAAGCTGTGGGGAGCAAGAACCTCGAGCTTATGAGGTCAGACAGATCCATGCTTGGCCTAGGCGTGTGGGTCCTGCAGAGACTGAACTCTTCATAATGGAGCTAAACTCACCCAGCTCCAAAGTTGGAGAAGCTGAGATAGATATGCAATAATTTGTTGAGTTACAAAATGACTGCTGCTTAGTTATCACCCTCCAGGCCGCCTGCAAGAAACTCCTTGTGTTTCACCCCTAACTGGAAACACACAGAGAAGGGAATTCTGGGAAGTCTAGTTCAGCTGAGCCCTGTAGATTGTGAAGTCACCATTGCTTCCAAAGTCTATAATCTAGTGAGCCGTGCAGAGAGTAAAGCAGGTAATTGAGACAGTGAGGTAAACACTGAGAGCAAACATAGAAGGTCATAAGAAGCCTATTTGTATTTCCCAATTTTTGATTCAATTTGAATTCTTCCATAACATTTAAAAAGAAGATCAAAAGGGCCCTGAATGCCAATACATTAGAAAGTCAGGCAGGCTAATTAGGCACTTGAATCTCGTCGCTATTCTTTATCCATGTATCCTTCCAATCTAAATTCAGTGTTTAATTTGAGCATTTGAGGACTGATTACTGTTTCAGTTGTAGAAATTACAGGCCAAATATTCAATATGCAAGGGTAAGTCAAAAAGTATTGCTACTAGGGTTCCATCCATTTATGCACACAGGTTTAGTCCAAACAAAACTTGTTTAAGCATGTCTTTGCAGTCAGTGGATGGCTGCAGACAAGTTATCTCAGCAACACATTTGTCTTACCTCATTAAGGTGCCTTCAAAATTAAAAAAAGAATAAGTGCAATTAAAGCAGTGGTTTCTTTGGGGATCTGCTGAGCCATTTGGATTCAAGTCAGAGAGATCAGTTCAGAAGGTTATGGCAACTGGTTTGGGGATTCCCAGTGGGTTAATCTTGATATGTTTTCTCAAAGGACACAGGATGATCATGGAGGCTTATTAGGAATAAATTTTAAGAAAATGGAAAACAGCATTGTTTTTTAAAAAAAGGCCAGGAAAGTCACACCAAGACATTTTTCCATCATGACAATGCACCTGCTCATTCAAAGGTAGCCAGGGCTACCTTGATCCTGTGAGAAGTTTGTTGGGAAACCTTAACCATCCACCCTACAGCCCTGATCTTGCCCCTTCAGACTTCTTTTTGTCCCCCAAACTCAAAGCAATTTTTAAAGGAACACAATTTGAGTCCTTTGAGGATGTCAAAACTGCCATTTTGACATTGTTTAAATTGAAAAGCACAGACTTCTTCAAGGAAGGGTAAAAGAGATGGAAACACTATATGGAAGTGGACATCTGTAGACCTAGATGGAGAATATGTCAAGAATCAGTAACTTCACATCCTGATATTTTTGTTTAACAAAAATTCTTTTTTTAATTACCCTTGCAAAATGATGGATATGAGTAAATAGACTATGACGTGGAGAGATGGAGTAACTGGGGACTCTAGACTCAGGTAAGGAGAGGGGCTGTGTGCTGACAACTGAGGGGCAGGCTTGCAGGGTATACCCTTTGGTTGTTTGATGATGCATGGAAGGAATTGTAAGCATGGCAATGAAACAATATGCGATAGAATGAATGTAAAGCTAATGTTCTCCCATGTTAACTATCACACAATTCACAATAAAAACTTAAACATTTTTTAAAAAGTAAATCAATTAAGTCATGACATCGGGATTCCTAAATCTAGTTCCTTCCATGCTTGTGGTAAAGCACCCTCTGGGGAAAGCCTGGCCACGTGCACATTTTCCATTCTGCTGCTTCACTGAAAAGTGTGTGGAGTTGGTTGTATGAGAAACAGATGGCCACTGCAAATACACCAACACCTTATTGTTACTCTTTTACTCTGTCGTAAATAACAGACTAATTTAGGCTACATAGAAAAGTGAGGAAATTAGTAAGAACACAGATGCTATCATATGAAACTCAAGAATGAAAACACAGCAGAGCCTTGGGAAGCTTCTGGAACTAAAAATTCCTGCAAGTCTTCATTTCCCTCATGCTATTTTTTGCTTTCCAAAGAGACTAAATTTCCTTGCAACTCAGTATGCATGGGATGGTTAAAAAATAAAAATAAATAAAAAATTGCCCCTAATTAGCTCCCAGGTTTATTTGAAGTTATAGGAGAAATGTCTGACCCAGTTGCAGTCAAATATCTACCCCGTACAATCAATCAACAGACAGCTAAAATGGAGGTGGGGGAGGTACTCATAGTAACTCTCTTATCCTGTGCACTGGGCCCAGTTCCAGAAGAGGAGGGATCATTGAGAGCTGGCAGTTGCCCCAAAAGGAGCCAGCTCATCCACACTGTCCTCAACCAGGATGAACCAGCTTCTCTGACCTGCTGTGTAGGTTCCAGGGTAGCTCGGCAGTTAAAGGAGCACCAATAGGGCTTGCAGCTCTCAGGACCTGAAAGACTTTGGAAGCAAAGGCCTTTAGGAGATTTGGGGTCACAGAAAGGCAAAATCTGAAAACAATAGCTGTGGGTCCAGAAAAGTCTCTTTAAGCATAAGAGGAACAAGCAGCTGGACACGTTGGCCTCTTGGATCAACTGTTTAAAATGAATAGAATATGAATAGGAACAACTGTATAGTAAAAAGTTGTTACACAGTTCAAGGACTGGAAGTGCTTTAAAATCTGGTCACTCCCCATGCCCTCCTCACAAGATGCCATCTCACAGGATGTCTAGAAGACATCCTGTGTCTTCTAGAATAGAGTCAAGAAACAGGGGTAGATCCCAGAGTCTACATTTACCCCAGTACTTATTCTGTGATGCTGTCATTTCCTATGGGAATGGGGGAAAGGGGAAGAGCAGGGAGAGGGGGCTAAACTAGTGCATTAGGATGCTCCAGGGGTAACAATGAATTTTTATTTCACTGAAAGTCTGGGGACATCTGATGAGCTACTTGAGTACAAGATAGAAACATAAGGGTGGAATTATAGCTCATTCAGGTATATCCGTAGCCGGGCGAGTATCCCCAGAAATAGAGAGAGGTCTCTATTAGTGGGCTGTGAGACTCTGCTTTGCTGTAGGATCAGCACTGGACTGCTAACCACAAGTTCTGTAGTTCAAACCCATTAACTGCTCCTTGGAAACCCTATACAGGGTTGCTATGAGTTGGAAGCAATACCACGGCACATAACCGCTACCACAAGTTTCACAAAACTCTGAGGGACATCCAGTAATGTGGGTAACAGAATTATAGTTCAAAGAGATCTCAGAGACTAGAATAATAATCTGTAACTGAAAGATGTATGAGAACAGGAAACGAATAATAAGTAAATTAAACCAGCCAATTCATGTTTAGTCCCTGACTTTACCACAACACTTCAAGTTAATTGAATCAGTTAAACAGGTATTTGGCTGGTTAAATAATATGGTCTTTCTCCTCAGATAATAAACAATAAGGAACCATGTTGGCACAGCAGTCAGGCACTCAACTGCTAACCAAAAGGTTGGTGGTTTGAATTTAACCAGCAGCTCCTTAGGAGAAAAATCTGTCTATTGGATCACATGAAGATTACAGCTTAGAAAACCCTAAAGAGGCACTTCTACTCTGTGGGATCAATATGAGTCAAAAATTAACTCAATCACACTAACAATAGCAATACTGTCTAGAGGCAGCCAGAAGTGTTAATTCAGCATCT